GTTTCAGTCCCAAGGGAATCTGGCCCAAACTTCTAAGTTTTAACATTCCAACCTTTTCTCTGTTGACCTTAGGTTTTAAAAGTTACTGCAGCTGCTCTTTCCATAATACTTCAAAATTCTTGTTACTCTTTCAGTTACCTAACTGCATGGTAATTCTTTTAATTATTTCTGTTCAAGTAACTGATATCATTTTCGCCTCCTGACTGGAATCTGCCACACTGACAAAGGGCTAGAATACAGAACAAAAGAACTTCTACAAATCATGAAAGATGGCCTCCTGGTACATAAGCAAACCCTGTAAGAGACAGACATATGTACACACATATACACCCAGAGAACATTGTACAGAAATGTTTGCAGCAGCAGTTTTGCTAAGAGCCCAACCTTCAAACTATACCCAAATGCCCATTAAAAGTTAAGTAGATGTTATGCTACATCCACACAATGAACTATAGAAGTGACACTGATGAATCAATCTATCACTATATATAGTTACATGGATTAATTTTACAAACACAAAGTAAAGCCACTCAAAGGAGAAAATAATGTAGGTTTTATTAATAATGCAACAACAAAAATCCATGGCATTGTTAGCATAGTGGCTATTCTAGGTAGAGGGCTAGAAACTAGCAGAGAAATGAGGATCTCTGGGGGACTGGTAATACAGCGTCTTGATCTGTATGGCTGCATGGTCTCCCATTTTTAGAAATAAAAGGCTTCCTTGACATACTGCCAATTCTCAAGCTACTGCCCTAGTCTCTTTGTTAGAACTGTCTGCATGTCTGCCCCTGTCTTAACACTGAAATTATTCTCACCAGTCATCTGACTGTAAATTTAGTAGGTATCATTTCTGTGCCGACATTTTACTTAGCATAACTGTTGACCACTCTTCTTAAAACACTCTCTTCAATGACATTGCATTCTCTTGGTCTTCCTTACTTACCATCCCTTTAAAATTGATACTCATCCTTAGCTCTCACTTCCAAATCTGTATATAATCTTATATTAATATATTCCCATCATTCAGAAGTATCTATTTGCTAAAGACTTTCAACTATCTCTAGTTTCTCCTAAGATTCAGTTAGTTACCTAACTGCCAACGTATATCCATTTGGATCTATTCACACTATATCTGAGTGCTTACTATGGGTCAAATATTGTTGCTACAATCTCTCATAGAAATAGTCACTGTAGTCAAACTCAAGTCTATCTTCTTTCCTGCATATTTAGTCTTCTTTTAGAATTCTTTCAATGACTGGCCCTACCTTCTACTAGACCAGCTGAATAAAAAACCTGCAGGTAATTTTTTTTCTTATCTCTCTGCCCATATTTTAGTAAGCAATCAGTTCTGTTAAATTTACCTACACAGGATAAATCTACCTCTCTGGAGTCTCAATGCTACTCATTCATATTTAATTTGACATGTAATTTTTTGGAATGATGAACAGATCAAACTAGACTTCAAAGAAATGTCCATATATATTCCAAAGCAATATTTTACATTGTTTTCAAATGCTAAGGAATGGCCAAATTAAATATATATATAACCCCTTAGATTAAGATAGCTGTAGTAGCAAAACTCCAAGATGAGCCTCAATCATCTCACTTGGGTATTTACTCTTGTGTAGTTCTTTCCCCGTCTGGCCTGTAAAACCAATAGAATATGACAAAAATGATGGCACAATCATTCCCAAGATGAGGCTGTGTAAGTGTTGTGGCTTTAATCATTAAGTACACTTTCTTGGATTATGCTGGGAGAAGCTGGTTGCAACATCATGAGGGCACTCAGGTAAGTAATCTATTATGTCTCTAGTCATAGCCTGTAAGGAACAGGCCTGTCAACTACCCCATTAAGCCTGGAAACACATTATACCTCAGCTGAGCCTTCAGATTATATTTAACTACAAAAGTCATGAGATTTGGAGCCAGAACCACACAGCCACATTACTCCCTGATTTTGAACACATAGAAACTACAACTGTTTTAAGCTGGTAAGTTTTGAGGTTGCTTAATTGCTATTGAGCAATAGAGAACTGATTTCTTCTCCCAATCAAACCATAAGCTGACTACAATTTTTGTCACTAGAACAAATAAAACAAGTACACTTTATACTGCTTCACAATTTCAAATTATTCACTATCATAAAATCAATGCATTCAACTCTGGACAATAGAATCAGTAGTGGTTTAGTATAAACACATTTGGTTAGGACTGTATTTGCATAGTCAGCTTTGATTTATTCCAAATAAGCTGACCAATTTTTGGGTTTTTGGCTTACAAGGGTTAAACATCACTAATTCCTCTTAATTAGCTAAAGAACAATTAATACAATTAGCACCTAATAAACCCACACAGCTAAACAAAAACCTACTTTCCCCAAAGATATTTCTAAAACTGCATTCATGCACTTTCAAACATTTTACATGGCACAGAAGAGGCACTGAATATATATTTGTTCAAGTGGGCAGTAAAATCGTATAAGCAATTTCAAAGAGCTGTGAACACAGCATAAATGTCATCAAGTGTCAGTTCAACTAATGATTTTATATAAGAATATAATAGAACCAAACTGTTTTGAGTCCCCCCACACTAAAAGATTCTATGTCTCCTCGCTTTCTTCTTAAATCTTTGGTGGAAAGATGTTATGTGAACTCTGAATAACCTTCAGTGACTGTTAATTCAAAGTGACAAACTGACTACATGAATGGAAGAGAAATGAGACATCAAGAGTAATTAGCCTCCAACTAATAAAAATGAAAATAAATAAAACTTAAAATCAAACATTAAAAAAAAAGACAATATATTGCAAAATGCTGTATGTAGAGAGTGAGAGGTACCTCCAAGAGCTTGCTTCCCTACATCATTCTGTGAGTATAATAGCTATACACTGCTTACCGAGGAACAAGAGGACCAGATTATTACAACAACTAGAAGCAAAATATAAAGGAGTAGACTAAAATGAGAACTAAAATTCAATAATCCTCAAATCTCACATACAAAATGTTACCAGGAAACCTTGCAGTTTGTGCTATTTGAAAAAGTATTTATTGCAATGACAAAACTAGAGGTTAATTACTTTTTTATTATTGAATTATATTGTAAAGTCTACATCTACAATTTTAATCAGGAAGAAATGCTTTGCATTTACATCAAGGACACATTTACTCTAGTGGAGTTAAACAGACACAGACAAAACACCAAGTACACATTAAAAAAAAAAAAAAAGACTACATGTTTTACCCGGTCCTACTTTTGCTAGTTTGGACCATACCTTTTCTACTAGAAAACTGATCTCACATACATGTTAAGTCTGATTTATCCTCCCACATTTCTGAACATTAAATGCAGCTTCTCACAATTTCTAATTATAAACAAAAGATGGGAAACATAGTTTACAAACAAAGTAAGTAAAAGTAGACTGCTATTACTGTATAGAGGCAACGCTGAATAAAACGTACTCCCTCTGTGGCTCATCTCAAAATACTTTTACTTGGAGAGGCAAGCATTTCTCACCTAGGAGTAAGTTTCCCACTGCCTTTGCAGAGACCAGACCTGCAAATGTTCCTGGTCAATTGCAAAGTAAGTGGAAAATGTCTACAAAATATCTAAAAGCTAAATGTCACACAAGGGCTGATGCAAATCAAAATTGTGTGCTGATCTAAATATACATCTTAAGCTTTTTCTTTTTAAAAAGTATCTATTCCAGATGATATTTAAAAATAACTTACATTTTCAATGTGCTTTATTGTCAATGACTGGAAAGTTGAAACAAATGATTAAGTCAAAAATTTTTGTTTTACTTGATTCTATAGAAATTTCAATTACCCACTACTTTACCAAAGTTATACATGAGGTAAGTTTTAGCTAAAAAAATAACCACAAGGATAAAATTAACCATTTCAAGAGTAAACAAAAATCATAATGCCCGCTTTAATTTCAGAGTTTATAAATTTATGTGTTAACTACTGTGTATCCAAGGAAAGTGTGCAATGTAGCTTAAAAGCACATCCTTTTTGCACTTTCAAATCAAATTATGTTGGGAAATATAGGGCAAAAAACCTTGGCAAAATTTGTTTTTGGTAACAGAAGATAATTCAGTAATGAATCCAAATGGAAACTAAGACTGGTGTTTAAAATTTCTAACTTCTAAACACACACACACACACACACACACACACTTATTTATCTAAAAAGTATTTTGGTAACAAATTGGATTGATAGAATAAATGTCCTGTAAATAAAAAGTACAAGTTTCCAATTATAGCCTTATAGCTAGCCAGTCTTTAAAAACATGTATAGCCAGCTAACAGTTCTCTAGAACACACACTGATAGACTCCTGCTAAAATCAACGTCATTTAAATGGGTCTTACTGAAGGAGGACATTCATGATACTAGTTATCTTTTAAAAAGTGAGTACAACAGGGCTACAACAAACACATTACTATTAAGAAAGGTTACAGAAGAGATTATCCTGGTACTTTCCCCCATAAACACCATCAAACTTTGTTGCAGTTACAAAAAGTAGAATCCCAAGTTACTTTTTCTCTTAACTGAATCTCACATTTCCCATATCTCTAGTTTTTATTCAGTAGAGAGTAGTTCTTAAAATCTTTTCTGTAAGAATTCAAAGTATTTAAATGTGTAGCTTCACATTATACTGCCATGTTTTGCCCTTCTTGTTTCCCAAATACACAAAAACAATATACATTTTTCTCAAAAAAGAAATAAAGATGTCCACATTAAAAAAATAAAGCCTACAAAAAAGTTCCAGAGCTAAAAAAAGTTATTCATATGGCACGAAGTGATCTCCTACGAGTCCAAAGTTCCAAAACATTAAATGAAGTCCATTTATATATCTTGCTTGCTTTCAATGGAATACTACATTTATTGAGGTGAAATCACATTTTTTTTTGTTCTTGAGTCAACAAGTGTACACAAATGCTTTTTTGATAGTTATTAAAAATAGGAGACCAAATTGAATGTGCCAAAGACATATCATTCAGTTGACTTTTTTAGAGTTATTAGATAGAAACTTATAGAATGGATTTCCTTGATTGGTTTCCATAGCTTGATAGACCAGAAACAAAAAAACGGCCACAACAACAAAGAGCACAATTTTTATCCACATGGGAATGGAGCGTCCCTTTTTTGTCTTTTCTGACTTGACATCTGCCAAGGGAACATACTTAGGAATATATTTAGATGAATAAGATTCCTCCATCCTGAAATCACTGAGTTCTAATGGCCGGCCAGCAGCCCCTTTGATTGGTCTGCGGCAACTAGCACTGTTGGGAGTAGAAGGAGAAAGAGAAAAATAAATATTAGATAAAGTTATGACCTAAATAATATAAAATGTCATTATCACTCCTAATTCCAAACACAGTCTTTGAGGTAACAGTAAAAAACTGTCATCAGTCGACCTATTTAAAACTTCTATACATTTTTCATTTAGATTCATATACTTTATTAAAAAATAATTATTCAGAATATTATAAATAGTCACTAAATTTGCCTTTTTAAAGGTTTTTCAGAGCTAATATATTTACAAGATTAAGAGGGAAAAAAATAAAGGTAGTTTGGTTATGATTCCCCCATGAGGAAATAATCCAACAGATGTCTAAAAGCAGTCTCTTCAATTAGTAAGTAAAGAGAAACACTCAGGAATAAAACCGATTTCCTTCTTGTTGGCTTTCAGTTTTGATTTAAAAATAAGAAATAACAGGCAAACTGATTTACTGATAACCCTTCAGCTTAACAAATTTAATTTTGGAATTGACTCAACTTTCGAGAATACAAACCAGTTAGTGCTTAGAAGAATTAAAGAGCTCCCAGAAAGAACATTTTACTTCTGAGAATAGAGGCACAATAATTTTGTGAAGAATTAAAATTCCGATTATATATGAATATATAAAATAATTATGTTGTACACCCTAAATTTATACAATTTTAATGTGTCAAATATACTTCAATAAAAGTGGGAACAAATAAATAAAAATGCCCTAACAGAATATATTATATACTTGTTTCAGTGTATGTGAATACCTAATTCCTGTTGGTGTAGCTGCTTCAAAGGGAAACATTTCCTTAAGAATATCCCTTTCTATTCTTCTTTCCTCTGTTTTTTCTCCCACCTATTAAGAAACAAACAACCACAAGTTAAAATTTAGTGTAAATGCACAATGATTAGAACATAATTTTAAACAGAAGTTACAGAGAATAGAATACACTTAAATCTATTCAGCTTTTACAACTGCCATTTATAAATTCATTATTGCTTAATTATCCATGCATTTCCAAAGCTCTCTTCAAATTTCCTCAATGTGAAGATATGTTTATGTTGTAATGGAGATCACACATTCAAAAACAAAAAAATAAAATTCAACAGCTAATATGGCAGTGTTAAGTTCCCTCTGATGCTTTTTCATTAGCATTAAAAGTATATTGTTTCTTCCTGTTAATTTTGTAATAAAACAAATAATCAAATATAGAATATATAAAATTAAGACAATCTTTTAACAAATTTTAGTATATGCTTTTAACTACAGTCAATCCAATCTTCCTAACTTAAGAAACAAAATAATTTTTTAAACAACCCAATTGCTTTGCTAAAGTACCGTTATGACCAGATCAAAACAATCTTTGATCAAGAATCATTAAAATTATTATATCATGCAGTTAGTACGTTAAAGCTTAATTTGATAAGAGTTAATTCAAGTATTGTACAAAGGCACTGTAGTCCCATTACCCGATCTTTCAATGAAAGATAGTATAGCTTCCCCCATAGCCCAAGTAACACTTTCAACTCAGATCCATTTTAACAAAGAGGACATATTAGAAGCAGCACAGAAATAACCACTCCCTTGAAAAATGGAACTTAAAGAGGCACATAGTAGCAAGAGGATAGTATTAGCATGTCATACTATATTAGTTACTTTTCACTGTCACTAATAAAGTATGCCTTCAAGATAATATATGCACACATATAGACACACACCCCACCCAATTAAGAAAGCTCCGCTCCCTCCCACTCCAAAAAACAAATATAAATATTTCTTCATTAAAAGATCAATGATAGCATCGATCTAAAATTTTATTCATTTACTTCAGCTCTTGTCAATGGTTTCTTTGGTGTTCTTCTGGGTATGTCTGAGAATTCAGTGATTGGCAGAATAGGAGCTGCATGCTTGAAATTTCCAGTCACCCTATTGACAACCTGCCAAGATTCAAATTATTCAGACTCAGAATTATCCAAACAAAACAAAGACAACGTTAAAAGAAAGTCGATTTTTGTAATATTTGAAACTTTCCCTTAATAAAAATTTAGGCATAAGAACCTAAAATAATTATTCAGTGTTTCATATGTGAAGGAAGCCTTATCATTCTTTAAACACGTTAGCAAAAAAGTATCCTTATGACACTAAGGATTCTTGCACAATGAATTATATATATATTTAAGTGGCTATATTGAAAAATTCTAAAATTCAGAATTATATCGGGGAAATGAATTTAAAATATGCTTAAAGACATTTAAGTTTGAAGTTTGTCAAAATATACCACCTCCCCAATTCTAATTAAAGGGTAATTTACAAAGAATACCACTTGTATATTATGAAACATATTTACTAAGGTTTCGTTGCTTGAAGCCATTATAGTTTCAGCTATGGGAGTACTCTCTGAAATTATTGCACCATCTATACGAAAATGCTCTGAAGTTTCCACCTGTTAGTTTGAAAACAAAATAAAAACAATAAATATAAAACAACCACTAAGACCCTACCAATCTGAAAACCCAGTTCTAGGCAGTAAGCCTCGCGTCACCCTTTTCCTCGGAGCTCCTCTCGACCCTCTTGTAGGCTCCCTAGTTACTGCCTGCAGAGACCCGCCTTTTGAAGATCCACTTGTCCGCTCAGGCTCAGTCACTCCAGCTTGAGAACAGCGCTATTCAAGCATCGACACATTAAAAGCCATATTCTAGTATCAAAACCTTAGTAATGATGGCCACATTAGCACACTAAGAATCCATTGGAGTTCCTAAATGCCAGCATTTGAAAATAATGCTCTGCCTTCCAAGTATCACTAAACGTAATGACTGAATAGATATGCAGGCACCAGAAAACACTGAATATACGGTAGAGTCCAACTATAGGAGCTCACATATTATAATAAAAGTGGGGGTGGGGGAACACATCAATTTATCACTGGCTCCTTCTGTGACTTGTTCACTATATGGCTCCAGTATCATAGCTGCATCTCTGGCTGTCTAAACCAAATAGCAGGCTGATCACTACTTGTAAGAAAGTCATTTGTTATATATAGTAAGTTAGTTTCCTTTTAAAAACAAAATATAAATTTTATAATTGTTCGAATAGATTAAACACTAGTCTTATCGTGTGGCTAGGACTATCTAAATAGAATCATGTGAAAAGCACTAGATTAGTGCCTCTACTTGAATTTTTTGTTAAAATGTAGATTCTGATTCAGTAGCTCTGGAGTAAGGTTTCAGAGTCTACATTCCAAGTATCAACTTATTCAACTTTGAAACCTCTATTACCAGAGGATTCTTCTAAATTCTTTTAACTAGGGGACACCCATAAATGATTAGTATACTAGAATATGCCTAAATTGTCACCTTTGCTTTCAAGCTAGTATTTTATATAGATAACTGATGTTTTTATATCCAAGTTAGTGTCTACTAATTTTAAAGACAGAAATATATTTTACTCTTATCTTGGGACAAGAACAGTCATCCAGTAAGTAAGTTCATTTGGCTGGAAGCATTACTACCAAAACACCACAAGGTACACACTTTGTCTTACACACCTGGTTTTGTATTTATCTCTATTTGGAACTGACTTTATAAGCTTTTCCCCTTTGACTCATAATCTGAATCTTTGGGTTTCTTTTCCTATTATCAATAGGAAAAATCTGCTCAATGTAAACAATGTCAGTCAAAAGATAAATCTGTAAACAAATGACACACATGTATAATGTGTGTGTGCATGCTTAGTCGCTCAGTCGTGTCTGACTCTTTATGACCCCATGGACTGTATCCCGTCAGGCTCCTCTGTCCATATATGCTTCTTAATAGTTAAAATTTCTGATTATCTGAGTAGCATGGAACACTAGTTTTAATCTGAGGTTCTCAATCCTGGTGGCACAGTATCATCTAGGAAGCTTTTAAAAAACACCAAATGCCCCAACCCCACCTTTGACCAATTAAGTCAGAATTGCTTCTAGACTGGCCTGGGTTTAACAAAATTTTGTAGCTCCAAAGGGATTCTAATCTGCAGCCAGGGTTGAGAATAACTGGTTTAAGACATGTAACTGACTTATTATGCGTTTCAAAGTCAAGTATTTTTTTCAAAGTAATTCCAACACTGCTACCTCTTTAATAATCAATTACTTGCTCAAGGCCAACAAAATAATGAGTACTTTAAAAAGACCAAATATTTTACTTATAATCATGAAGGTAAATGGGTGAAGAAACATCCTTTTCCCTTAAAATTGCTTATTTACCAAATTCCAGGACTTTCCATTTGCTTTATTCTGAATAAATAACTGAACTAATCTCATCAAAAATTTTACCAAACATCTACTGAAACTACTACAGTTTATACCAAAAAAAGTTTACATTTTAAAAATTAGTTATCTTTGACAGTAAAAGCCAAGTTCCATTTAGAGATTTTTAAATTTTCTTCCCTGGAAGAAAACACAAGAAACTTACTGGTTGCCTGTGGGAATAGCTGGAAACAGGGAAAGGAAGGACATTCTTCACTATAAATCATTTATGCTTTCTCTGGATCAGGTTTATTAAGTTCTCTGCTTGAGGACTGTCAACCAATTTTTATTAGTTCTTGACTATCACTATCTAATTTAGAAGTAATCATCTTCACAGAAAACTATCTTTCACACAACCAGAAAAGATACCCTGAAGACTGAAGAAAATTTTTTTCTACCAGAATCCACTATGAAACAAGTGACTTTCAGAAGTATACACTCAGTATTACATTCAGTATTATAACTACTTCAAGTAAGATGGACCAAATGATCACTGACTGAAAAAAAAACCTCATTGTTACGTAAAATTAGTAGTTACTGTGACTGCTATATGCTCTGTGGTCAAAGTAAGAATTGTAATGTCATCTATGCACAGCAAGATATTCTATAGAAAGTGGTCAATTTATCATGGAGACAACAGGAGGAAGAAACAAACAAACAAAAAATCTATCAGGTAAAAAGTTATTCAGAAGACATTAGGTAGTTGAGGCACATGAGTATGCAGGAACTAGGTTATTAGAGGAGGCTATATAAATCCCTCTCAGTGAAAATACAAGCTCTAAACAAACCTCCCATACAGTACTTGTGGGAATGGAAAATGCTTCAACTTTTACACAGGGAAATTTACTAACATCTAGAAAAACTGCCCAGTAATTTCACTTCTAAGATTTCATAAACTCACTAAAACAAGAAACAACACATGTAAAAAGGCTGTTTGTTGGTTCACCTTCGCATTATTCAGAATACCACATAACTGAAAACAATCCAAATATCCACCAAAGGGAAAGTTGGTGGTTGAACAAATTACAGTAAATCCATAAAATGTAATACCATGCAGTGGTACAAAGCAATGAGGAGGATGGCTCTACTATATCCTGTTATGAAGTGATTCCCCAGGATATGTGTGCAGATTAAAAACAGAAAGACAGAAATGTGCAGTGTAGGCTATCTTTTTTATAAGTAGATGAGTGCAATAATAATAAAGAGATAAATGTATTATTTACCTGTATTTTAAAAAAGAAACAAAATATAAACCAGAATTTAATAGAAATAGTAACCTATGAATAGAAGGAACAAAGATAGAAAGCATAATATTTTGATTTTATATTCTTGGCATAAGGAAAACTGCCCCCAATCTGAAACTGTAATTAGCAGTTTTACTATTAGTAGTAAATACCGTTATTTAGAAACAGTGAAAATTACATAAGAAGCTATTAAGAACCAAGATATTCAGCCTAAGAGAAGAGTAAGAAGTTGAAGACCTAGAAAATAGCCTACATTCATAAACTTGAGAAATTCATGTCCTATTTTCTCTTTCTTAAAAATAAGTATTCCTAGCTCTACTCAGGTGTCCCTAGTGGCTGAGACAGTAAAGAATCTGCCTGCAATGCAGCAGACCTGGGTTAGACCTCTGGGTCGGGAAGAATGGTTATCCACTCGAGTATTCCTGCCTGGAGAATTCCATGGACAGAGGAGCCTGGCAGGCAACAGTCTACGGGGTCGCAAAGAGCTCTACTCACTGAGAAAGCCCAGAACAATGACAATCCAACAGCAAAGAACTTCCTGGCATCCAGGCTGTAGGTAGGTTCCAAATAATATTTTCCACTAAAAGGATTAGGAATTCTTTGGAAAAAATGACTGACTTATAAGAGGCAGGAAATATATATGAGCCCAGGACTTCTTACTGTGCCAGAAAACAAGAAACTATCAAAGACAAATGGGGTCAATAAAAGAGAGAAACCAACTCAGTAATTCCCAGCAGCTACGGATGGCATGATTTGAACATGAAAAAAATAATGACTGCAATGGATCATACATCAAATATATATAAAAACCGTACTAGTAAAAAAATATTGATCACCTTTCAAAATGACTAGGGCACTTAACTTGAAAACAGGCAAATAAAAGGCATGTAAGCAGTTATCCTGGCTCTACTACATGAATTTTATTTCAAAGTAACTAAGCAATTCAGAAAGGGAAGTTCTTTATAAAGGAATTATAGTTATATAGGTAAAAACACAAGTTACATCCCAAGTATTAGTTGTGGCTAGCGGCTACTTAATGAATAGCAGATATAAAACATTTCCATCATTACAGAAAGGTCTATTGCATAGCCCCACTAAAAGTCTAACTCCCAGTCTACTGGAAATACAGGGCATAAAAGAATGACCCTTGAAGAAACAATCTGCCAAATCCACAAAGTGAGAAACTCTGTAGAGAACTAATCTAGTTTCAGCACCAAATGGAGGGAGGGAAAACAGTTACAGCGGAAATAGCTACAGACTTAAGACAAACCCCAAAACACCGAGTAGATATGTGGAGTTTGTATGCAAACTGATTCAAGTCATTCAATCATAAAAAAGACACTTCTGAAACTGGAGGCGATTGTATGAAGAATGTATAGAGCTTTGAACAGATATGAAGGAATGATTTACACACACACACACACACAAACAATGCCACTATCATTCCAAATAAAAATAAAATTTAGCTATTATCTTTTAGAGATATATACTGAAATACTGACATTTTAATGTGTGAAATGAGAGGTGGCTGGAGATTTGTTTTAATACACTTCAGCAACAAACAACAAAACCAAAAAAAGTAAAAATGCTGCAGGGTGCAGATTAAGATAAAACTGGTAAAATGTTAACTGTTGAGGTTCTGTGAATGGTCAATACACTCTTTCCTCTACTTTTCTATACAATTTAAATTTTGTATAATAAAGCCATTATCTAAATCCTGCCTGCCATCTCCTAAATTTACTCTCTCCTTTCACTATATACCTTGTCCTTTGATTTAGATTCTTCAAGTCAAACAATTACCCCTGAACCATATTTAATACCATCCTCCCAACCTCAACCTCTTTTTAACCCGGCATTTGACAAATCAATGCATTCCTGTTAGCACTAAACCATCTTGCTACATTAACTGGACCAAAGTTCCCCAAGTCTGTCTACTTCGGTGCTCGTCACCAGATCTTCCTAGTTTCTCTTTGTTATCTCCTTATTCTTCAGTGGGCCCCTGCAGCTCTTCCCTGGCAATAACAGATAAGAGGACAAAATATTTATTCTAGTCTTTGTTCAGTATTAAACAACATCTTCTTTCATTCAAAGTTCTATACATTGTCCATACAGTCACTAAGCTCGTTGCTAACAAACAGTTCTGAAATTCAACCTAACTACATCAAACTAAGAGACACATGGCTTAAGAAATCAGTAACACTTCCACTGAGGATGTGTGACTTAAAGCAACATGACTGGCTCTGAACCATGCTTAGTACAGAATCAAACACAAATGAGACATTTACTAAACACTTGGCTTTAGCAGTAAACACAGGATACACTACTGACAGAACACACACAGTTTAGATTTCCAGAGTCATTTAACGAACACTTTATTACTTGAATGTGCTGGATTCTGGGTGTCAACTATTAACTACAGGCAGGGACACAGGCAAATGAGTGTTGTAGCAGATTACTTACACCTGAATACAGTGATCATAAAGCTAAAGATACCTGATTGTGCTCAACTCTTCTTTGCTTGAGTGTTACCGGAGTCTTTGCTCTGCCTTTTAGTGGTTCTCTCTTCTCAAGCTTGAGCTCTATTTTAGAGTCTGGAAATAACATTGGAGAAACCGTTACTCTCTGAAGTAGATCATAAACTGTGTCATCCTAACATTATTTGGAACCTGGGTTTTTAGTTTCACTAATATGTAAAACAAGTCTATTGGTATTATCTCAATAGATCCAAACTGGTTAACTGCAATATCTGTCTTTAAAAACTTTTCTTTCTCATTCTTATCTTATTCCATTTTAATGTCATCCACTCTATAATATGATCACCACTTCTTCCTATTTACTCCCCCCCCCCTCCGCAACTAATAGCCTGAAACAATGTAAAATTCCAGAGGCTTTTCACTGAAAACACTTTAGAAGTGAGAAAAGGACATTAAAACGCATAGTTACCATTTGTTTCGATGCAGTGCATTATTACTATACAAAGGTTTTTAACTTAAAATTTAGAATATGGAAGGGAAGATGCTATATAGAATTTGAAGAATGAGAAAAACTTGTATGGTATCAAGCCCAACACAGTATTCTTGCCTGGAAAATCCCATGGATGGAGGAGCCTGGTAGGCTACCGTCCATGGGGTGGCAAAGAGTATGACATGACTAACTTTTTTTCTCAAGGAGCTATCTTGTTCACAGAAAAGTACAACCAATCACATGTCACTTCTTCTTTCCATAATAAAGTAACATTTCTCTGAAGAGAAGCTAGTGTATATATGTTACTAAGCATATCACCATGTTGATTACTACCATAACAACTCAAACACATGTATCTTTTTATATGGTTCAAAATCCCATTCGCCTAGTCTTGATTTTAGCATTTGAGGGGCTAGATTTTTCAAGAGACTGATAAAGATTTTAGTTAGCTTCCATATTTTTGTGGCCATTCCTCAGTATAACAAAATTAATGTTGTCACTTCTATTAACAAAAAGTTAATTACTTTCTTATCAGAGACAGAAATGGAGTCAATTCTTAAAAGCTTAGTTTTCATGAAGTCAATGGTTTTGCTAAAAAATAGTCAAGACAATTATGTGGCTTGCTAACTATCTAGACTAGTACTAGTCACTCCAGTCTACATGCAAGTTTCCCAAATATAAACAGTGATTTTTCTTTTACCATGTCAGTTCAGATAGTTCAATCTTTATTTGGATTAAGGTATCAACTCCATCCCCCACTTCCTAGTAATTCTATTAATGGCTCTATTATCTATGGGACAATCCTTAAAAAAGTCTTTTCTCCGTTAACTCAGAATCTTAAGAATTAGAAAGCATAAAGTAAAGAACCCAATAGTAGTTAGCAGAAATTGGTTACACAGATTAGTTATCTGGTTACAGACTAGTTTCTCTTACAAACTTAAATTTCAATAGCTGATAAAAAAACATGATCCTCATGAACTATACTTCAATTAAAAAAAAAAACAAACAAACCCATGGTCCTCAAATAGAAAAAAAAATAATAATCTGAATATTTTCAGCTATACCATTGGAATGTGAGGTGAGTTTCTATGAGGAAATGGAAAAGGCATGTTCATCCACAAATATCTAACTTGCTGCAACTCCAAGAATAAAACACACATACAACATGTTTGTGGAGACCACACAAAACTGTTCCAATTTAACAACTTTATTGAATTTGCAGAAGCATTCTACAGTTACACATTTAAAAAAATCACAGAGTACTTAGTAGGTACATGTATACATGTACATTTCAAAAGACAAATAACAAAATTACTCCCAGAAAGCTGCAAAGATGGACAGGTTAGTCTAAGAATATAGTAATAGCTTTAAGTCCCAAGAGACTGTATTTTGCTTATACTTAATCTACTATTTTCTGTAAAAATACAAAGAAATTCAATAGTCAAGTGCCTCTACAATTAGAGTGTCTCATCTTACAATCATAGAAATGAAAACAAAGAATAATATACTGCTTTATATTGACACATAGAAACTGGTATACAGTATGATTTCTTATAACTCAAAAAAAACTAATAACTTAAATCTGCTTTGAAAATTTAGCTTAGATTACGCCAAATCATCCACGAATTACTATACACCTTAGGAGTTCCATCTTTCTTAATTCATCTGACTGTAGTTTCACAGTTATGCTGAGACTGCAGTATCCCAGAATACCATGGTCTAGAGCAGCATTTCTCAAAGTGTGGTCTACCAACAGTGTGCTGCCAGTCCACGAAAAAATGAGGCGTTTGCACCGGAATGTAAGTCAGTACACTGTCTTTCTCTCTCAATAAAATTTTACCTCAAAAACAAACCCTGTCATTGGTCTAGATTCAAACTCTGGTACACGCTTATCTTATCTGTGGATAAATAACAGTTCGTAGACTGGCACTTTGAGTTGCACTGATTTGGAATATTATGAACAATACTGTAGACATCAGCAAAAACAACACGAGAAGAGAAAATATAAGTTCTGGAAAGCAAAGAGATATTTAGTAACATTTAAACCATGAAGACTCAACTTATAATCTAGTTAATGGAATTTTCTTAAATAGCTGTAAGAAAATCTTAAAATAGGAACAACTATTTGAGGAAAAAAATATGATCTAGAAAAGCTTTAAATTGTTAGCCTCAGGCTTTCTATCTATGCAACTTTTTAAAAAAGGCAGTTATATGTAGGCAATTACTTTTATAGTGCAATTTAACTAGTAGAAGTTTGACACTTTGGCATAAAAGTATTTCAAATTCCTAGAAAAGCTGCCATTCCCCATATTAAAGATTACATAGATGTCTTTATTCTTCATTTTACTAGTGTTTATTTCCACGCTTTTTAATTACTTTGAGTACTTCTCTTCCAAATAATGTTCCACCTTTAAAGGGAGCAACAGCTAGCTTATTCTTAGAAGCTGGACTCATTGTGCAATCCTTTAGCCAGAGATGGCGGCGGCCTAGAGTGGACGATCCCATGGTACGGGCAGCCATCTTGACCTCATCAAAGGCAGCTTCACAAAGGAATGAGGCTGCATCATATGCTCTGCTTAGCAATCCAAGTGCTTGGTGCGTGCAGGTAGGATCTGAGCTAAGAATTCGTGCAGCCTGACTCACGTCTGCCTGCAGAGCCCGGACCACAAAGGCAGTGTGGGTTGCAACCTGCAATGCTGATGCTGCAGCTTCATAGGTTCTACAAAGTGCTAAGTCCAGCTGTTTATCACAGGGCGCAGTGGGAGCTGCCTCAATACCCGCTGGCGGAGTGGCCTGAGAAATAAACTCTAGGATTTCACCATCTACTTTTGGAACTGATAGTATCTGTGTTGCCTCTCTACAAGAAACTGGATACTTGCATGCCAATGAAGGCAGCTGCCTATCAATTTGCTGCCACTCCTCTTCAATTACTTTTAAAATAGATTCATGGAAGGGAAAAGATAGTTCGGGAGCATCTATTTTATCATGCTGTGATTGCTTAGACATTTCTATGCCTAAAGTAGCGAGTGACTGAGAAACAACGGTTTTTGCAGAAGACATCAGTTCAGACCCAGGTGTGTTTTGAAATGCCACAAAGGAACCTGAATCCTTTCCCTCTACTGACTTTTCACTGAATCTCGGCAATTTTCGTGGAGGAGACAGGGATTCAGTTTCTTGCACATTAGATGCACCAATTCTCTTCCATGTATTTTCTACATCGAGAAGGGGTGTAGAGTTAGAAGTCCCAGGCAAACTACCTCTTTCACCCTGGACCAATAGAGAACTGACATAATCTCGGATTGCCTTAGCGAGTGGTGGAGAAATTACTTGTGATTGCTCAGACTCTTCTACTGCTTTCCTCTCACTGGAGAGGACTGACTGATCTGAACCATGGGACCTCTTGGTACATAATGGCTGAGTTCCACTTTTCTCTCCAAAGTAAGTATTTTCTACTGTGTCTTTATAGCAAGTACTGGTGGTTTCGTTAATCAGTGAAGGAGAAGCTGCAGCAGAGACCAACATGGCAGTGAGTTCATGCTGAGGAGATGACGAGGAACTTTTCTCTAAGCATCTATCATGGCTAGACTTGGAGGGGACAGAGCAACCTCCAGAGGCTAACTTTCGGTCCCTGTCAGGCAAGGTGGTGCCAATAAGAGGTTCCCTAGGTAGGTCTCCCTTAGAAGAATGTGCTTTCTTAGCTGCCTGGCGCTCTGTCCTGCCCAGAGGAGGACGGGTGGAGATTTCAGGAAAAGAAATAGCCTGAAAAAATCCACCAGAGGCAGTAGTTGGAAGTTCAGAAAAAGGAACAAAATCCCTAGTGGACTTCGCTTTCTTGTGTTCTTTCTTCTTTCCTGTAGAGGCAAAAGAGGCAGGAAGTTTAAGCATTACTTGTGCTCAAGCCGACTCTACCCTCTGCCTCTTTGCTAACAGTGGTGATGAGAGAAAGACTCCGCATTTCATACTCGGAACAACAATCTGACAGACTGTGCCCTGACAGGCAGTGCTTATAGAGATATAAGCAATTTGAGTCAACAAACAAGTCATATGAATTAAAAATTTATAAGTGTCAAGTTGTCATATAATAAATTTTAAAAGGTTGTTTTTCACATACTACTTGAAAAATATTTATATACCATGGCCAATTTTCCATAAAATAGCCCACACACACAAAAAAATATATTTACTATAGTTGTGTTGAAATCAGATCTTCTAGCAAAAATTATAAACTTAAATGCTTATCAATAGAGAACAGAGAAAACATGAGAAATAAACCAGACATATGTACTAAATCAAGAAAAGATCACACCGATTTTTTAAAAAGTACAAAATAATACCACATACAGATGTATATGAAAAAGTATTTAAAAACAGGCTGCAAAGATAAGCATCAAATTAATGATAGCTTGCTTCTGTGGATATGTTACTCGGAAAGGGGTAAGCCAGGAAACTTTGTCTCTACTTGTAACCCTTTTTCCTCTTAGAAAGATGAGACTTGCAGCAAAAAAGATAAGGGTACCTGGCAATTTTATGTGACAAAAATTAGACATCTGTACTTTTCTGTTTCTTAGAATTCTCAACAAAAGGTATTAAATCAAATTACTTGGAGGACTAATGATGGGGAAAAAATCTACATATATCTTGGTAATATTATTTAAAATTCTATCTTCATGTTTATTATATCTGATGAATCTGAAAATTTTTTATTTTTTTGATTATATAGTTTACTAACATCACAAAATTTTACCTTCTTCATTGTCACTGTATCTGTCAGAGTCATTACTTCCATTCTGTCTTGTATTTTCCACTGAAGAAGAAATGGTTGGCAGAGGAGTAGAAGATCTAGATTCTGTTCCTTGTTCCCTCAGTTTCAACAGCTTTTTCTCATATAGTTTCCTGGTTGTTCCTGCATTAAGGCAGAACTTCTTTATTACTTGTATTGTCTTATTTAAGATTCAGCTCAGACATTATCTTTAGAAACTTAAAACATTACTTTTCACTGTTTCTTCTTCTAAACTTAAGTGCTTAAAATATTTTCTAAAACAGGTTTTTTTCCCTGAGATTTTAATACATGCTTATAACAATGTTTTTTTCTTTTTAGTAGCATGGGATACACAATCGATTGATTTAGGTCTTAAGGACATCGGACTACTGAAGAGCCATGTATGACTGAGTATCTCTGAGTGAAAAGTTTTGAACTTTGTGTGATTTCTCTAGTACTATGTAGTGAGCGTTGTCACTTTAGTCGTGTCTGACTTTTTGTGACCCCATGGACTGCGCCCCACCAGGCTTCTCTGTCCATGGGATTCTCCAGGCAAGAATACTGCAGTGGGTTGCCATTTCCTTCTCAGGGGGTCTTCCCGACCCGGGGAATGAACCCACATCTCCTGCACTGGCAGGTAGATTCTTTACCACTAGTGCCACCATAGTATTTGCCTTTGTAGAAAAATCATGTTTGTATTAAACAGATAGTACTCTAAATTAATTATGATTTAAATCCCACAATTCTAAGAGATTAATATGCCTATAAAAGGCCATTCAGTTATGGAAAAAGCCCTGTAAGTCAGGTTTTAAAAAATTCAATATATTTGACACACAACACAGTAAACTTTTTTTTTCACAGTAAACTTAAGATGTTAAATCATACTTAAATATATTGCTGCAGTAAAAATAACCTTTTATGGAAAATGTGTTATAAACAGAAATTACATACCAATTAGATAGCAAAATAAAATTGATTATAAATACTTTAGTCAAACATCAATGACAACTTAAAATCAAAAATAGTTTTACTTTGTTTTATACTAATGTATGTCTTTCCCTGATTTCTATAAGAGGAATAAAATGATAAACATGTTTTCTAGAAATAATGTGCATCTCAGAATGCTATGTATAAAAGTAGTCTTAAGATGAAGAGCTGGGGAAGGGGAAATAGAGAGCTATACTTAACCTTTCAGTTATACAAGATGAATAAATTCCAGAAATATAAGCGTGGCTTGGGCTATAGTTAACAATACTGTATCATATCCATGAATTTTGCTAAGAAGGTAGATCTCTGCTCTCACCACACATAAACACATAAAAGAAAACCATATGAAGTGATAGATATGTTAATTAGCTTGATTATCGTGATCAGTTCACAATGTACATTAAAACAGCAAGCTGTACACCATATATGTACAACATCTGTTTGTGAATTACACCTCAATAAAGCCAGGGGAAAAAACAAACAACTGGCACATCAACATGTAACTTAATATGTTTGAAACACAATATATAGGTTCCAGCATCTCCTTTTTATATTATAAAAGCGTATTCATTGTTCATAATTATATCAATAGGCTTACTATAATCTATTTGGAAGCAGTACATTAATTCTTATTTGCAACTACATCTATTGGTAAAAACTCACAAATCTACAGTATCAAAAATTTATAACTTAGAAGATCAAATAGAACTTTCTCATCTTGAGTTTATTGTCAAGACCCTCCAAAATTAAGGCATATCAGCCTTGCAAACTTAATGACTTAACAATAACCAAATGATGAAAATCTAGGGTATTTACTTTCAAGTTTTCTCCAGTTTGTTCTTTAGGGTATCCTTCTTGAATTACAACTAAGACAAGATTTTTTAAACCTCATTTTTAATGATAACTAAAAGGGGGTACTATGCTGGGAACTGAATAACTTGAGTTATATTAACAAGTCTGTCACTAACTTACTGATTTGGATTAATCTGGCCTGCTATGTTACCTCAGGTTTTCCTCAACTGTTATATAAGACCCATTATGTCTCACCAAGCAATATGATACGGGCACAAAACGAAACAATCTCAACAGAGTAATCTTGAGGATTATATAGTTCAATTATCTAATTTTATTTCCCCATCTGTATTTACATTTAGGGAAACTAAAGTCCTGGTCATAAAAATAATTAATGACAGACAGGCCATTAGAACAAAAACTCTACCTGCTAGACAAGAGGGGAAAACAATTTGGGGGACTGCTTCATAAAGATACTTGAAACTTCATCAACTTACCTACAATAGGACCAGGGTTCACTCCATATTTCACAAGCTGATCCAGAAGATCTTCATTAGAGAGCTCTGTTACATCTAGATCATCTTTATCTTCTGGTCTGGGTTTATCAGTTTTCTTTGTGGCTTTCTGTAAACAAAGTCCAATTATCAATTCCTAATTAAAATCTCCAAATTAAGAAATTTTTCATTTACTATACAACATGCAAATTTATCTTCAGGCTGACTTATACTACAATAGGGCTTAGCAATTTGATTTAAAAGCAACTCATTATTCAAAAGTATTTTGTAAGTTCAATTATAATTACACAAACCTAACAAACCAAGCAAGTAACTAAAATTTTAGTTATTACTGTTAAAATAGTCAATTTTGGTTAACCTATCTAAGAAGAGGTGATGGCACCAAAAACTCAAAAGAGCAAAAGTCTGGGTCTGAACATTTTCATTCAGACATTCGTAAATAACAATTTACTACTGGCTTTTCAGTAATTGTTGACAGTTTAAACCAGCAAACTTTAAGACTTCACCATAAAGGTTTAATCATGTTATGTATAAAAATGATTGCTTTTAAACAAGCATACTGGAATTTAAGAAGCCCAAACGGATATTCTTTTTGTACATAGTGACTTTAGTAGCCAGTTTTTTGACACATGAAGGAAATCAGACTTTATGAATACCTATCACCTCTGTTACTGCTTTGTTGCCACATAATCTACATGACCGTTTCACTAAGACTAGCTGAAAAATGTGGAACAAACATCGAGAAAAAAAATTTAAAGGTGGCTTTTAAAATAATCTAAGGAGTAGCATTATTCACTGAAAAAACTATATAAACTTCCAAGGTTAAACAGGGGAAGGGAGTGAAAGTTCGGTTACCTTTTAGGGTTGTGGCAAATAGCTTTACAAATGTCTCAGTAATCCCAGAAAGCATCAGAGTACTGAATATAAATGGCTGTTTAAATAATGGCCACAAATATCAAAGTCAATGTAGGTCCAGATTACTACTTAAGGCAGAAGAGTCAATACTGCATCCTAGAAATAGTTTATGCAAAATGGTGAAAATCATATAGTTGTATGGGCTGTTTACTTTCCAATGATGCTGAGGGGGGAAGAAAAGCCAGGCATTATTTGGTCATGTACTAGAATTTGTTTTTCAACCAAATAAAAATGAAAAATAACTTTATATAAAGAGCGTAAGTTATGACCAACCTAGACAGTATATTAAAAAGCAGAGACATTACTTTGTCAACAAAGATCTGTCTAGTCAAGGCTATGGTTTTTCCAGTAGTCATGTATGGATGTGAGAGTTAGACTATAAAGAAAGCTGAGCACCGAAGAATTGATGCTTTGGGACTGTGGTGTTGGAGAAGACTCTTGAGAGTTCCTTGGTCTGCAAGGAGATCCAACCAGTCCATCCTAAAGGAGATCAGGCCTGGGTGTTCATTGGAAGGACTGATGTTGAAGCTGAAACTCCAATACTTTGACCACCTGATGTGAAGAGCTGACTCAATGGAAAAGACCCTGATGCTGGGAGGGATTGGGGGCAGGAGGAGAAGGGGACGACAGAGGATAAGATGGTTGGACGGCCTCACCAACTCGATGGACATGAGTTTGGGTAAACTCCGGGATTTGGTGATGGACAGGGAGGCCTGGCGTGCTGCGATTCATGGGGTCACAAAGAGTTGGACACGACTAAGCGACTGAACTGAACTGAGGATCACCAAGCTCAAATCTCAAGCAACCTACACCTGATGTCAAAATAGCTTCTTGGAGTCTAAGAGTTATATATTTCAAATCCTTGAATTCTTTACAAAAGGCTTTAAAACAAACAAACAAACAAAAAACAACAAAGAGACCTAATCCTGTAACCTACTTGAATTTTCCAAATAGACTGGGAAGAAAAACTCCATTGTATAACAAATACTTTAGGTATAGATCACTTGTAGAAAAAAATTCCTCCAACCACAAGAATGTTCAAATTCTCTTAATATCTATGAATTTCAAAATCTGGATGCAGCCTGAGGTTCTCAAGAACTCAGTCTTTGGTGCTCATCAGATTCACTACTTAGTTTTTATTAGTTATCTGCACATATGCTTTACCTTTTCCAGATGATAAACTTCTTCAGCAATAGTCCTTCAGTCTGGTCTGTTATCAAAACCTCAGAACTTTTGGAAGAGTTGCCCGTATTTTAAGAAGTCTTACCCCATTCTGAGTCCTAATCATGGGCCTGAGAATCTTTATTCTAATGTTTAGCTCAGGTGATTTTGGATGTAGCGTTTAAGAGGATAACACAAAACAGCAGTACTGTCATATTGTAACCCCAAGCATCTGAAATTAAAGAGTACCTGACATAGGAAAAGGTACCTGATAGGTGTTCTGTTGAATGAATGAATCAAAGTGCCATCCAATAAAGGGGAAATTAGCCACTTACTTAAAAAAAAATCAATTTCTGAAAAACACCAATACAGTATACTAACACATATATATGGTATTTAGAAAGATGGTAACGATAACCCTATATGCAAGACAGAAAAAGACAGAGATGTACAGAACAGACTTTTGGACTCTATGGGAGAAGGCGAGGGTGGGATGATCTGAGAGAAGAGCATCGAAACATGTATATAGTGTGAAACAAATTGCTAGTCCAGGTTGGATGCATGAGACAAGTTCTCGGGGCTGGTGCACTGGGAAGACCCAGAGGGATGGGATGGGGAGGGAGGCGGGAGGGAGGATCAGGATGGGGAACACATGTAAATCCATGGCTGATTCATGTCAATGTATGGCAAAAACCACTACAATACTGTAAAGTAATTAGCCTCCAACAAATAAAAATAATTGGGAAAAAGAAAAAAAACCCAATTTGTTATTAAGAAAGAACAAAGCCTTAGCAACTCCAAGCAGGAAACCAGCTTCCTTACATTTTCTTAGAACAGTGAAAGACTACAGCTGTACAAAGAAATTCTGAGTAAGGGGCCAATAAACTGGCATAAGGTAAGTCAAACAGCGCAGTGTTCATATCAGGGCACCTGAGCTTTACTTTTAATGAAAAAAAGTTCCAGAAAAGTAATGCCATTCTCTGAAATATCAAATTTAATGAGAATATAAAAATTGGAAGTATACATATTTACCAAGTAGTGTAGCAGTTTCAACCAGGAAGAAGGAATCATTAGTTGCACAGATTTTTGCCTCCAACGAGCTTTGTTCCTTTAAGTAAATACGCAATCTGTTTCCTTTGGTCAAAAATACCAAGTACCAATTAGGTGCCAGGCACCAGTCTCTAGTTTCTTCCCAACTACCAGATGATCTCTAATTTTCTTTTCAACTTTAAAATCCAAAAGTTCTCTGATATCACCTAATGAACCACTCATTTAAATCTCTACCATTACCAGCAAAGATGCTGAAAAGTGAAAGTGAAGCCACTCAGTCGGGCCCGACCCTTTGCGACCCCGTGGACTGTAGCCTACCACGCTCCTGTTCATGGGATTTTCCACGCAAGAGTACCATTTCCTTCTCCAGAGGATCTTCCTGACACAGGGATCGAACCTGGGTCTCCCGCATTGTAGGCAGACGCTTTACCGTCTGAGCCGCCCAGGAAGTATTAATGTAACGTTATTACTATAAAATAGATTCTACCGAGCACTTAAATACAAATTGTGCTTTAAGTGCCTTACGTATTAACTTGAAAGAAACTGAAAGTCGCTCAGTTGAGTCTGACTCTTTGTGACCCAATGGACTCTCTACTAGTCCATGGAATTCCCCAGGCCAGAATACTGGAGTGGGTAGCCTTTCCCTCCTCCAGGGGATCTTCCCAACCCAGGGATCGAACCCAGGTCTCCTGCACTGCAGGTGGATTCTTTACCAGCTGAGCCACAAGGGAAGCCCAACTTACTGAATCCTAAATATCCTATATGATAGATGCCTCCACTTTACAAGAAAGGAAACTGAAGCCCAAAATTGTTCAGCTAACTCAAGCAATCTGCATACTAACACCTGAGCAGACTTTGTATGCACCACTTTCACAACTTACCTCATCCAATTCTGAATGTATTATGGTAAAACTGTATTGCTCTGGTATTAAATAATGGCAACAAAATTCAGAAATTCCATTTGTAATAGCTATCATGTGCTATAGTTGCTGAGCACTACACGCCTTCACAAATGCAACCTCATGTAATCCTCAATCTAAACAGTTACTAGATTATTCCTATTTCACATGAAAACTGAGCATGTGATAGGCACTGTTCTTTGTTTGAGATCATCTGAATAAGGGCAAACCTGGGATTTGAATCTGTAATTCTGAATCAGAAGCCTGTACCCTTAACACCTCACTGTACGTGGTCCATTTATGATTTAACATTTTCTATATAACATACTCCTCACTGTTCTGCTCCATATCATTAAGTATTTGTTAAGAATTCATAATTCAACAGATTAGACCATTCAAAAATGCCATGCTCTCCTGGATCCCAAATAGCTACAATGTTTTACACCCTGGAACTGAAAGGCAGACCATCAACTCTGCAAATGTTTATTTTTGTCGACAATATCGTTAATTCCATCACTGGAAAATACTGGTTATCGTCAAGATGCATGACACAGAAAGCTTAGAAAAAAGAAAACTAAAAACAAAAACCAAATTTTGAACATGTAAACATTCTGTCCTATCACACCAAGTGAACCTGCTCATGGCAGTGGCTGAAATGAAACAACTCCTTTAATTAAACATATTCCTCATAAACCCATATTTAAATTGAAGGTATACACTATGTCCTTGGCCAAATCCACATTAATGTTTGTTTTATAATGTTAAAAAATTCACCATTAAATTTGGCTTTTTCCTAGGTTATAAATATTCTTTTAAGAAATGTGACTCTAAGGACTTCCCCAGTGGGTGTCAAGGAGGTAAGACTCTGCCTTCCAATTCAGGGGATACCAGCTGGATCCCTGGTTGGGGAACTCAGGTCTCACATGCTGCGGGGTGGGGTCAAAAATTAAAAACAAACAAACAAACACACCTGACTCTATATTGTTATTACACATAGGGTTAACAATGACTGGAATGTAAACACTGTATATACAAGAGAAATAATATTGTATAAAAAAGGAAAATAATTTTATATACCAATTATAAATAGCATACAGTATTCTTATAAATTCAATGTTTTTCCTATGCCTAATAAAAAAAACCTACCAGACTCCTCAGTTAAAACAGAACTCATTTTTTACTTAATGTGCTTTAAAACAGAAAATGATGTTGCTAACCAATTACCACTGTTAACCTTCTCAAGTTGTTGATACCATTGAGTACAACCCGGGGTACACATTTCTGAGTTTTAAATGCACAAGGCAGAGGAAACTTACAGCTATGTCTGTGATACAGCTGTTCTCTATAAGGACTGGAACAGTAATTGAGATACACGTTGCTGGACAAAGGTTCTTTTAAAGTTACTTTCCTTCACTCAGTTCATCTGCATGTGTGTGTGCTCAGTCGCCTCTGACTCTTTTTGACCCTATGACTGTGGCCTGCCTGGCAGCCTGTCCATGGGATTCTTAAGGCAAGAATATTGAAGTGGGTTGCCATTTCCTCCTCCAGGGGTATCTTCCCCAACCAGGGACAGAATTTTAGTCTCCTGTGTTTCCTGAATTGGCAAGCAGATTCTTCACCACTGAGCTACCTGGGAAGTGCGTTTATTTGCATTGTGCTGACTAATTTGGATAAAGTGGGTAACTTACTGAGCTAATCCAAGAAATTAATTACGGTGGTTGGTAGGTCTACAGGAAACAAACTCCTGTAGTTAAGAGCCCATCACAGGAACTCAACAATGTTGCATAACTGAACTGAAATTAAAAATTTTTACATTCAAATCTTCTTATACCCCAAACACAGGTCAGATTGGGACATACTCTCTTCTAAAGTTGGAGAAAAAACATCAAAACTGAGATGGTTATTTCTGTCGACAACAAATCATCATCAGAATAAGAGGAAATAATCCTATCACACACATACAACCAAATACTTCTACGATTCAAGAATGATACCTTTGCACAGAAGACCAACATATGAGTCTATGTAAGATTTTAAAAAGTGCTGATTTTAAATCATGGAAAATATTTTATTTTTCAACCAAATTTTTACTAAAATAGTTTAAACATTACTTTTGTTTTCTGAGGTGGGGGGGGGGGACAGGTAAGGGATATTCCTTATTTCAAAAATGTCTTCTCCTGAAATACAGTGGCTTTTTTCAAATCCACAAAACCAAGGCATCAGAAACAAGTTGAGACTGAACTTTTATTTATCAAACTAATATTTATTTGTCACTACCATATGCCAGGTACCGACTTAAGGCGTAAGATTTTCAATTTCTCTAAAGCCCAGGCTTAAGATTTAATTAAATCTACATGTGTCTATTATAGCTTTCCTTCATTTCTATATGGGTAGTCCAGAAAACACAATGGATAAATTTTTTAAAACTAAAGTTAAAATAACTTTGAAAGAAGCAGTCCTTAATCAGTACCAACAACTCCAAACTCCACTTTCAATGTTTTACAAAGCACTGTACTTTACACCAATCAGTTTTAACCATATCCTCTTATGATTTAAAGTGACAACCAGGCTTGTTAATACTAACAAAACACTACATAAAAACCCACCGAACAAAACCCAAACTATTCCCAAACAAAATGCGCATTTGCTGGAGCCAATCTAAATTCGGGATTAAATATTTCAAACTGCAACACCGACAAAGGTTAATGTCATGAAATAAACATTTCTCCTAATTCCAAAGGCTCTCCTTTCTTCATGCAAATACACCAAAAGGAAAAACAACCAACCCTCCCAAACCCTTAGTACCTAGGATTTTCAAATATTTGAGCGTCTCTGATAGTCTTTCAGATACATTTTTAAAAGTTTGCTGAATTTAGAGTTACGCTGCCCCGCCAAAAAACAGCCTGGTGCTAGAAACGAGTAACCCAAATAGGAAAAACACAAACCGTTCAAAAAGCCCTCCTTATGCAAAGAAACATAAAAAGGCGGGAATTTCTTTATTTCAAAATTTGGTTAGATATCAGCATGTCACAAATTGCCCTCCAGGGAGCGCTCTGAGACCCGCTCACTAGTCATTTCGGTTAATAAAGCGGGAAAACACTCGAGCGTAACCTGTAGCCGTTTGGAGCTACCCCTCCTCAGGGCTTTTCGAAAAGCACTGGGAAGTCCCGGTCTCACCACCCGCTCCCGACGGCCGGGGGTGCAGGGACACCGAGCTGTCCGCCCGCAACCCGAGAGCAAAGCTAACTTCACACCCCACGACACACCGCGGCCAAGACGCGCGCCTCGCGGCCCCAACTTCGCGGCTCTCCGCTCCGGCCCCTCCCCTCTCAGAGCCGAGGCCCAGAGGCCGAGTCGGGCGTCCGCAGACCCAGAGGCCAGCCCCCTGGGCGGGCGGGGGGCCTGCCCCGCCGCCGAGCCCGAGGGGGCGCCCACTGCTCAACGCCCGCCTTTGTGGCCCCGGCCGGGCGTCCTTACCCTGCCGGCGGCGGCGCGGCTGCGGCCCGCGACGGCGGCCCCGGAACCGAGGACCGGGGTAGGCTCGCGCTCCTCGTCGCTGGAGAAGTCCGGGGGCCCTTTGCTGTTGGCGCCGGTGGCGAGCGGCGGCCGGTTGCGCGCCGTGAGGTGCTGCAGGTAGAGCTGCACATACACGTCTTTGCGCTGCTCCCCGGCCGGGAGCGTCACATTGTTGGCGACCAACTCACTCTTCAACTTCTCTTTCGTCAGGACCGAGGGGTCTTCCAGGAACTCCGGCATCTCGGCGGCGAATCCCCTTCCCCGCAGCCCTCACACCCTCCGCTCACGCCGGCGCGCTCGCTCCTCGCCCGGGCGGGGGGGCCGCGCTCCCGCCTCCGAGCCTCACGGCTCCCGGCCGGGACTGGCGCCTCGAAGCCCAGCGGAAACCCGCGCACACAAAGCCGAGCCAAAGGCGTACACAAAAGCCCCTGCAGGACAAGTGCGGCCCAGTGCGGCCAAGCCAGGAGTCCGCACCAACCCCAGCCCACACACCACGACCAGGGGAGAGGAGCCTCTTCGCCCACGCCCCAAGAAGGCGCGCCGCCATTGGCCCGCGGCCGGAGGAAGCGCGGCGGTGATTGGCGGGACGCCTCGCGCGGGTTCCATTAGCCGCGGCGCCCTGCGAGAGGTGGTGGAAACGCAGTTTAAAAGCCGCTCGGGCGGGAGCCCGTGAGTGTGGCCCGCTTCTGTTTCCTTTTTTCCCCACCCTTCTTAGACGGCGGTAAGGGACAAGTCGCACTGCTTTTTGTGCGCCGTTTCCGCTCTCTCCCCCTGCTGGAGAAGCTGTTGTTTTCTCTGGGGTCAGTTGCCGCTAACGGGTCGAATTTTTGGGCAGCTGCGAGGACCTGCGGGCAGGGCCTGGGTCAATCCCGGGACCCTGGGTCAACGAAGAATAGCCGCGGCCTTTCCTCCCCAAACGCTAGCCCCCTTGAAGGGAAAGGAAAGAAGCGAGGCGTGCTCGTGGACGCTCATCTTCCTCGATTTGATTTACTAGGAGGGAGAGCGGGCCGTTCAATCCCTGTTTGCTTGCGAACGCTTCTTTTGTTCCTGAAATTTAGGAAAAGCCAGACCTCGACTACAGGGCACTTTAACCTGCCGTTTAATTTGTGACGAAATTGTATTGCCAAATACTGCACTTCCCTCTTATGCTAAAGGAGGTTGGGGCATTCCTAAAGAATTTCATTTAGCTGTTTGGGCTCCACTGCATTTTTGTTGAGAGCCGTCTCTGGGTTGGATCCCTCCACCCGTGAGTATCTTAAACCATAACTTAAACCTAAATGCTTAATAATGCAGGGAAATGAAATGATTTAGAAATGCCTTAATAGGCAGTTTAAGATTACTGAGATAGGTGCATTCTAGATTTTAATCTTAGGGGAAGCCTAGTGATTTTATAATTAGACTGGAAACACTAATCAGAGCCATATTAGGGATCAAAGTTAAAACCTGGTGGAGTCTCAGAAATTTTTTAAAATAAAGATGTCTTCTTGAAAACAAATGCCATTGATAATAAATCATGTATATCTTACCAGTTTATATATGTTTCAAGAAAAGAAAGGTGACCTTAGAATTAGATTGTCTTAATCATTTCCCAAATTCTGAACTCCAGACTTTGCTTTATAAGCTCCTCTAAAAAGAAAGTTGATCTGATGCTTTATAAGCTCCTCTAAAAAGAAAGTTGATCTGATTTTTGCATGGTTAAGTTCCTGTAAATTTAAAGAAACTTCACCAAAAATGTTTCCTATGAATCAAGCCATTTTATATTGTTGAAGTGGAGACATTATTTCTAACCTAGAGACAGTTTTACTACTTATTTTCTTTTCTTTTTTTTTTTGGAAAATCTATAAAGTCTTTAATTTAAAAGTGTATTGCACAACTGTGGGATTGGGAATAACTGGCTTACTACTTATTTTCTAAAAATTTTTGAAATTTATATATATTTGAGCAATATTAAGATCAGGAATGCAAATTCAAAATTGTGTTTTAATTAGCAAGTTGTTTCGAAGATTTTTAGGCTGCATTGTAAAAGTTACCTCAACCCCTACCGCCAGCTTCGCTGAATACAGAAGCGAGTGTTTTGCCTTCAGAGGGTTGACTGAGCTGACAGGCAAACGACCATGATTTTGCAGTGACTGGTAACCCCGCAAACGTCGTCAGTGAGTGTGGGATGACCACAGTCTGCGGTGTGTCCTCCCACAGTTCAGTTGTTTCTTTCCGTAGAGTCTTAAGTTAAAATGGGCAGAACAAAAGTCCTGAGCATAATCTCTGCAAGGCCACAATTAATGGGTTTATTCTACCCTACTTAAATTAGCAAATTATCCTGTTAAGTCGTTACCTTACTAGTTGAAGGGTTTGGCTCTTGGCCTGACTGTACTTAAACAGTTTTTAAAAGGTAGGTTTTGCTGCTCTAAAAGGGTCGGAGTTACCAGGGCTAGATTTGATCTGAGGACGGTAGATTATAGAAAGATCTCCAGACTCTGACAGCTGCCCTTTGGTCTGAGAATACCTGAGCAGCTAGTGGATCCTGACGTGGTTTCTCAGAGGAGGCGGCATCACTGACAAGTGAAAATAAAAATCTACCTAAATTGGATGCAAATACAATGATGGAATCACAGAGCCATGTGGGAGAGCTATCAGGATGCTACTCTGCTTCTTCTCCATAGGGCCTTTGTACTAGAAATTTCCAGGCAGTTTAATCCTACCTTTTACCACAAGCCAGAAAAGAAAAAAAATCACCTGTTGAGTCTGAATGTTGTCTTATTTTAATTTTTTGATTACTGTACAGTATTAATTTCAAGTGTACAGCATAGTGATTCTATATTTTTATACATTATGAAATGATCACTGTACAAAGTTGGTAAAATACTTTTTACTATTATGTGTACATTACATCCCCCATGATTTATCTTATAGTTGGAAGTTTGTACCTCTTAATTGCCTTCCCCTCTGGCAACCACCAGTTCTCTTTATCTGAGAGTCTGTTTCTGTTTTGTTTATTCCATTGTTTTGTTTTTCAGATTCCACATCAAAGTGAAATTATATGGTATTTTTTATTTCCTCTAACGTTTCACTTAGCATAATACCTCCCAGGTCTGTCCGTGTTGCTATAAATGGCAAGATTTCATTTTTTTTTTTATGGCTAAGTGGTATTCCTGTGAGAGAGAGAGAGTGTGTGTGTGAATGTGTGTCTATATTTATCAATTTATATCACATTTTCTTTATCCATTCATCTCTGGATGGATACTTGGTTTGCTTACATATCTTCAATGTTGTGAATGATGCTGCAATAAACATGGGGTACATTAAAAATTTTTTTTCCCCATTATTTTCAGGTAGTGGAATCGCTGGATCATATGGTAGTTCTATTTTTAATTTTTTGTGGAACCTGCATACTGTTTCCATGGTGGCTGCATCTATTTACATTCTTATCAGTAGTGCACGAAGATTCCCTTTAGTCACTTCCTTACCAGTACTTTTCTTTTTGATAATAGCAATTTTGACAGGTTGAGGTATTATCACAAGCTGGAATCAAGATTGCCAGGAGAAATATCAATAACCTCAGATATGCAGATGACACCACCCTTATGGCAGAAAGTGAAGAAGAACTAAAGAGCCTCTTGATGAAAGTGCAAGAGGAGAGTGAAAAAGTTGGCTTAAAGCTCAGCATTCAGAAAACTTAAGATCATGGCATCTGGTCCCATCACTTCATGGCAGATGTGGAAACAGTGGCAAACTTAATTTTTCTGGGCTCCAAAATTACTGCAGATGGTGACTGCAGCCATGAAATTAAAAGACTCTTACTTCTTGAAAGGAAAGTTATGACCAACCTAGACAGTATATTAAAAAGCAGAGACATTACTTTGCCAACAGAGGTCTGTCTAGTCAAGGCTGTGGTTTTTCCAGTGGTCATGTATGGATGTGAGAGTTGGACTATAAAGAAAGCTGAGTGCTGAAGAATTGATGCTTTTGATCTGTGGTGTTGCAGAAGACTCTTGAGAATCCCTTGAACTGCAAGGAGATCCAACCAGTCCATCCTAGGGGAGATCAGGCCTGGGTGTTCATTGGAAGGACTGATGTTGAAGCTGGAATTCCAATACTTTGGCCACCTGATGTGAAGAGCTGACTCATTGGAAAAGACCCTGATGCTGGGAAAGATTGAGGGGAGGAGCAGAAGGGGAGGACAGAGGATGAGATGGTTGGATGGCACCCCTGACTCGATGGACATGGGTTTGGGTGGACTCTGGGAGTTGGTGGTGGATAGGGAGGCCTGGCGTGTTGCGGTTCATGGGGTCACAAAGAGTCGGACATGACTGAGCGACTTAACTGAACTGAGGTGTTATCTCACTGTGGTTTTGATTTGTATTTCTCTAATGATTAGTGATGTGTATGTGGTAAGTTGCAGCCGACTCTTTTGTGACCCCATGGACTGTAGCCCACCAGGCTCCTCTGTCCGTAAGAATACTGGAGTGGGTTGCCATTTCCTAGTCCAGGGTATCTTCCCGACTCAGGGACCAAACCTGCATCTCTTTCGGCTCCTGTATTGGCAGGAGGATGCTTTACCACCGTGCCACCTGAGAAGCCCCAGTGATTAGTGATACTGAACACTTTTTCATGTGTATGTTGGCCATCTGTATGTCTTCTGAAAGTTCTTTTTTTAAAAAATTTCTTTATTTTAATTGGAGGCTAATTACAATATTGTAGTAGTTTTTGCCAAACATTGACATGAATCAGCCACAGATGCACATGTGTTCCCCATCCTGAACCCCCCTCCCACCTCCCTCCCCATCCCATCCCCCAGGGTCATCCCAGTGCACCAGCCCTGAGCACCCTGTCTCATGCATCGAACCTGAGAGTTCTTTTAAATAGACACAGTACTTTACCCTATGTTGTGTTAGTCATTCAGTTGTGCCTGACTCCTTGCAACCCCATGGACTGTGGACCACCAGGCCCCTCTGGCCATGAAATTCTCCAGGCAAGCATACTGCAGTGGGTTGCCATTTCCTTCTCCATCTGTACCCTGTAGGCCAACATTAGAGATATAATTCAGAAAGAACTGCATTCTAGGTACCTGAAATCAATGTTCTCTGAGCGAAACATAATTTTCATTCCCTTTCATTAATTATCTCTCCTTTTCTTATCCCTGGGTACTATCAACAGGAGGTTACTTGCATATTCTACAGTTCTTAAGAGATGTGGTTGATGTAACATGTGAAGACATTGAGATTTCCTTTCTACATCATCCC